AAAAAAAGTTACCACAAAATATTTGCAGCAGTAATCATGGAAAAAGCTGGTATGTATTAAAGCATGGAAAAGAGCTAAATACAAATGCACTCCACACTCTTCAGATTTCTATGTTTTTCAACCTTAGATTAGGAATTAGGTTAGGAATGCAAACAAGACCTTACAGTGGAATATTTAATTAAAAAAAGCCAAGAGATAACATAGGAAGCTAAATATGTATGATAAACTTAGACAAACTTTATTGTCCTTTTGTATAAACAGAATGTATACAAAATGAAATTACACTGCTTACAGCTTCCAACAGTGAAATTAACATTTCCATTATAAAGTGCAGCAGTGATTATCATGTAAACACTGTAGGAGAAAAGGAAAACCAGTTTAAATAAGAAATTGGTGCAAAAGGACATTAGTATGGAAAGGTTCAGTGCAATGTAAAATAAATATTGTGCAAAATGCTGTATTATCCTTTTAAATGCACTATTTAAAAGGATTGTATAAGTTTCAGCTACGTTTGTAGTGTAAAATAATGTGATGCAGAGTCCAGTTTTTGCAGTGCTGAGACTGAGACATTGGAAATATTCAGTGAATGAGAACACTTAACAGATTGAAATAGGTTTTTTAAGTATAATAACATCTGAGAGATGCTTTGAGGATATTTAAATGTGTTACTAACCAGAGTGAAAGCAGGGCAGATCTATACCCTCTTCAAACTGTCATAACTGTTTTGTCAGTACATGATATTTTGTTTGTGCAAACTGATCAACATTTTGAACACAGTCTTATTCAGAAATATTTCATCTAAGCAGTCTAGTTTATACTTAAGCATCTGCACATTTGCTAAAGATAACATCTGCAATAGCAGCTAAAGCTCGGTTTTAATTAAAGCGTTTATACATAGTTATTTATGAAACAAGAACACTGCTATTTTAAATCGGAAAATGAGCTGACTCAATTAGTCTTCGGTTCAAAGGTCTGTCTGAGTTTGCTTTTTTCCTCTGTTTCTCATCTTGTCTATTTTTTTCCAGATGAATAGCTTTATTGGCGAGGGAATATTCCCCCATATTGACAGTCAATGTATTTTTATGACATCAGCAAACAGCTATGCTCATACTTTGTTAAAGATTGCGCAGGTGCTCGGTTTATTGCATGGTAGGGTATGTATGGTGCTGAGATCTGTTTTTGATGTGACATTAAGGTAATCAAATATATTGTTTTCTATATTTTTGCTGTACAACTTATATGAAAAAATAATAAATAAGATGAGAGGCAGAAAAGGCTCTTATCAAGAGGGACTGATAACCATCCAAGCTTCCAAGAGTAGTTATATACCGTACGTTATATTTAATGTTTTCCTGTTTTTTCTGAAATTATCAAGGAACTTCCGCAAAGTTTCTTGATAATTTGGTAATTTCAAAATATGGAAGATACACAAGAAAATTAGATCTTACTACTCACTCATATGCCTACAAAAGAATGAAAATGATGTTCAACGAGACTAGAGGAAGAGATACATTTACTCTGCCACCTAAGACATATTAATATATATTATGTTATATTTCTTTATCATGTTTTCCTCTTCTTATGTTGGAAGCTGTGCAGCAAAAATAATTTTTGCTGCTATTTTTTTATTATTATTATTTTGGGACTGGTTATGATTCATAGGATATGATGCAACCATAGCATCATATCCTTTTTTAAACAGCCGGTTTGCAACTTATTTACGTCCCAAAAGCTGAAATAATTCTTAAACTACTTACAAAAACCACTTCTCATCACCAAGGATGTAGAGCAGGATTTTGGAGAAGAAAAAGAGAAAGCTCTCTGGATAGGAGGCGAAACGTTTTCCAACTTGGAAAAAAATGTCCAGTGGTTTTATTTTTACCTTTTTTGGAATGACTATGACCTGGATGACTGAGAACCTTCCCCAGCGTACAGTTTCTAAGGCTAAAGTGTCAATGTTCAATTTAACCAGATATTCAGGAGCACCATGATGAACACTTACATCACCATTCCTTTTAACTCTGTACACCTCTGACTTCCAATACAAGACACAAGACAGAGTCTTGTCATATATAGAAATACTCGGATGACTGTGCAGTCATTGGGTTAATCAGAAACGAACAAACTGCTGAGTACAGGGAACTGGTTAACTGCTTTGTAGAATGGTGTGGAAATAATCTTTTGATTCTTAATATGGATAAAGCAACAGAGATGGCTATAGATTTAGGAAGAAAGAGAAACAAGTCAATTATGGACATGGGAGAAGTAGTGGAGGAGTATAAATACCTCTGTGTTCACTTGGAAAACAGCTTTAAAAGGGACAAAGTGCTGCATATCTTTTTTCATTCTATTGTGGAGAACGGATCTATTTCCCCATCTTCTGCGGGTGGATCAACAAGTAGAAGAAGAGGGCTGGTTCTTCACTAAAATCTAAAACCTCTGGAGAGGAACAATTCTTCATAAAATAAAGAGCTTCACAGATAACCCTAAGCCTTCTCTTCTGAGGACTTTCTTCAGTCAAAGGCTTCTCCAGAGCTACAATAAAACAGCTATTAACATCAACAACCCGTCAGGATCAATTATGTATTTATGACTTAATGAGTTGTAGTTTTCTGAGATTTTTCAGCCACAAACCCTCCAGGCAGACTTGTGACACCATGGATGAACATGTGGGAAAAACAGCTTTTGCCTACTCTTCAGTCTGGTGCAGGATCTGTGGTGCTGTGGGCCTGTTTCTTATTTCAAAGCCAATGGGAACATGTTATGGTTCTCCCCTTTTGGACTTTGAGTGTTTAGTTATTCAGATTTTCATTAATCTGAGTCATTCTGTTTTGTTGATCTTTGGTTCATTTTCCATTATTTGTTATTTTTAAGCAGTTTTGAGTTACTCTCTGTTGCCCCCTTGTGCCAGTTACCTTCCCCTTTGGCTCCCTTCTGGTTACCTCTATCCACACCTGCTCAACATCAGGTCATTAGCCCATTCTTTGTTCTGTTCTCCATATATACAAAACCTCTGCAGTTCCTCATTGCTGGCTCCCCATGTGTGTTTTCTCCTGATGTATTCTGGCTTTTTGGTTTGATTCTTGAATTTTGTTTGTGTTATTTTTTGATTTTTATTAAACCTTCAAGAACAAATCTCTGCTGCTTCCCTCATCTCTGCATTTGGGCCCTCAACCAACCTCCACCCCCATGCTGACAGAACATGGTTGGAATCATCATGAACTTATAGGACTTTTCAGCACCTCACTGGGTCAATCCATAGTGCCAGCATGCTTCAAGTCTGCCACCATCAATCTGGTCCCAAAAAGGCCTCAAGTCACCTCACTCATTTACTACTGGCCGGCTCACTAACTACCATCATGATGAAGTGATTCGAAAGGCTGGTTAATGAACACATCGTCTCCAGTCTGCCGCCAAGATTCAAACCGTTCCAGTTTGCCAACCGACAGAACCGCTCCACTGAGGACGCCATCTCTGCTGCTCTCCACCTGAGCCTGGCACACATGGAGGTGGTGAACACTCACGTGTGGATGCTGTTGCTGGACTTCAGTTCAGCTTTCAACACCATCATCCCACAGCATCTGATGGGCAAAATGGAAAAGCTGGGATTCAATACACCCCTCCGCAATTGGCTTTTAGACTTCCTCACCAACAGACCTCAGTCAGTCCAGGTTGGACAGAACACCTCTGATGTCATCAGTCTAAGCACAGTCTCCCCTCAGGGCTTCGTCCTTAGCCCCCGGCTGTTCACCCTGATGACACACGACTGCGCCCCCAGGTTCACCACCAATAACATCATGAAGTTTGCAGACGACAGTGGTGGGCCTCATCAGAGACGACAACGACCTGGACTACAGAGAGTAGGTGGAGCGGCTGGTGGACTGGTGCAAAGATGACAGCCTGATCCTGTACATGTAGAAGACGAAGGAGAACATCTTGGACTTCAGGAAGAACCACTCTCCACTTGTCATCAGCTAAGCTGTAGAGATGGTCAACAGCACCAAATTCCTGGGGTTGCACATCACAGACAACCTCACCTGGACTGTAAACACCACCTCACTGAATCAAAAGGGTACTTCCAGCCGAGGATGAGGAGAGCCCACCTGCCCCCACCCATCCTCACCCGAGCCCGTAACATTATCAATGAGCCCTCACACCCCCACCATGGACTGTTCTCCCTGCTGCCCTCAGGAAAGAGACTTCGAAGAATTGGATGCA